GGTCTGAACCCCCTACTTCGCCGCTGTGTCGTCCCGAAGGACCAGACTCTCTTCGCAGGTCCGCTGCCTGCGCGCTCCCGTCGTACCGCACGGTCCCAAAATGACCTGCAGTGCTTGTGGCGACGCTCTCCACGGCGCCGCCGCTTTCAGCGGCGCCCTCCGTGGCACCGCCGGACTTCTCCTCTATACGTGCAGCAAGTCCTCCGACCAGCTGCACCAGCTGGCCCATTTGCTGTGTCAGCGAACTGATCTCAGATCGCATGCTGTCGATCTGCTCGCTGCTATTTGTGTCTCCTGCCTGCGAGCCGTCCGGAGCGGTCCCTCCGGTTCTGCGGCCCGCCATCCCTAATGGACTCCCTCGAGGGAATAAACACTAGTGTGTTGGTTCCTCCGTACTTGGGAGGAGAAGACACGCTTTAACTCTCTCTGATTAGGCACCCGCGGGAGCGAGGAAAGGAAGGGAGGAAATGGCCCTCCCGAATTCGGGGAAGGGGCCCACACATAGTAGCCTTTTTCAGGCATACGCATGCTCCTGTCTACGTACCCCCCCGTGCTGCTAGCAGATCTACCATGCTCGTATCCAGACACACGAACAGGCCCGATTGCTGCTGGAAAGCGAGCCAGCTGGCGGTCATGGCATCGTCGTGGATGGCCGCCGCGTTGAAACCGAGCTTGGGGCAGGCCACGGCAGGTTCTCCACCGCTGTAGATGTGACGCATGCGACATCCGCAGGGAACAACGCGGACAGTAGTCTACAGTGTGGAACATGTCACGTTATGGACTGCACTAGAATGTACTGACGGATGGTTCGACAGGGCGCGGCAGACACGACGCTCTACATCTCTACATCCAGAAAAAAGTGAACGGTCTACCCAAGGGCTACCGCATGAAATATTACCTCTGGCACATCACCTGGGGGACCAACTGAGCGGGGCAATCAATTCAATCTCTCACCAGTGAGTCGGTAGGCGGTATTTCCCAGGGGCATCGAGCGAGCCGGCCTCGCCCTCCACCAGCAGAGCAGAGCAGCACTTGTCCTCTGGGGTGGCGTTGGCAGGCCCGCTGTCCTGGCCGTGTGCTCCGAAGGCGAGGAGCACGGAGAGTAGCAGCAGCATCCAAGCCCTCATCCTTTCTTCTGACCACGGAAGACATGAAAAACCAACGCGATATNTCTCACCAGTGAGTCGGTAGGCGGTATTTCCCAGGGGCATCGAGCGAGCCGGCCTCGCCCTCCACCAGCAGAGCAGAGCAGCACTTGTCCTCTGGGGTGGCGTTGGCAGGCCCGCTGTCCTGGCCGTGTGCTCCGAAGGCGAGGAGCACGGAGAGTAGCAGCAGCATCCAAGCCCTCATCCTTT